GCGCCTCCTCAAAAATGTAACTACACATCGAGGCAACGCGGACCATAAGCACTGCGATTGGTCGGCTGGATAGCTTTGCAATGCCTCCAAGCCGGCAGAAAGTGCCTGTGCTTTGGCCAAAACGGCAGCTGTAACACGGTGCATCAATATATGTGACCGTCACGACCCGAGTGAAATGACTCGTTTCCCTGTTGGAAAGTGATCCACTTGGTCGATAACATTTGAAAAGGCTACACCAGCCGCACGTATACAATTTTACCCCCATTCAGGTTAGCGGAGCGCTAAACCGGAAGTTAGCCTGCTTGGCAGGCAAAAGTCAACATAGTGGACACTGTAGCGCTACCGCCGACTAGTGTTTGGGGGTGTTATTGCAGACTGACTGGTTTAGGCAACAAAACTACTTGGTTAAGGTTAAGAAAAGGTCATGGTTTGGCAATTTACATAACTCGTGTAACTTAAATAAAAATATTTAATGTTGACTATAAATTTCATACAGAATAACAGACAGAGCCTGAAATGAGGGCCTCCATGAAAAACTAGTATAAGACAGAATATTTTTTTTAACTTTGAATCATGCAAGGCTGCCATACATGAGTCACAGAACCACAATATAGCGCTGATTTAACGTGATGCATAATTAGTCACACCCGTGGCTAACTGATACCATCCTTTGGTTCTGTACTGATCTCAGAGCCGCTGAAAGAAAATGGCAAAGGAAACAAAGACCCCGCCGACCTTAAGGGCTACCAATTGCTCCTACCCTCCTTCTCAACAAGCATCAGTGCTGCCAAAACTGCGTTCTATAATAACAGAATTAGCAGTGCCACTGACTCTAGGAAATTATTTTCCACTTTTAAAGCGCTACTAAATCCTCCTCCACCACCCACAAACTTGTCTGCTGATACCTTTGCTGCCTTCTTCACAGGCAAAGTGGAGGCTATAACTAGTCAACTCTCTAAAACACTCTCCCTCTCTGACTTCAAGAAACTCTTGAAAACTCATCTCTTCTGAGAATACTTCCTCTTATAACACCTCTAACTCCTAATCTCTAATATGCAGTTCCTGTCCATTTACCCATTGATGTGATTAGAACTATGAGCTCTTACTCAAAGCCCAAATCGTTTGCTGGACACCACCTCGACAACCAGCGGCGGAATGACGACATGCGGCTATACATGTCATCACTGGTCAGATTTGGCAGGGGTCCAGAGAAAACTACGGTGTCCGACATTGTTTTTGCATATGTACACACCGACTCAACATTAATCTTAGTGACCTCCGATTGGCGTAACCGGGAGTCATTACCGCCGACGTGAATAACAATCTTACTGTATTTATGTTTATCCTTAGCCAGCTGTTTCAAATAAGACTCAACGTCGCCCGCTCTGGCCCCAGGGATGCACTTAACTATGGCCGCTGGCTTCGCTAAATTCACGTTTCTCAAAATGGAGCTGCCAATGATCAGAGTTAGTTTCTCAGCGGCTGTGTCGCTGAGTGGGGAAAATCTGTTAGAGACGTGAACAGGTTGATGATGCCCCGTGGACTTTGAATGCTTACGACTATTGTTCAGTGACCGGCGGTGTGTCCAGGTGTGCTGCATGAGTGATAAGTCATTTACGTAAGTCATGTGGAGAAACAGAGAGGAGTAACCAGCCTGGAACATTTATTTAAGAACGGCCAGCTCATGAACTTTGACTTGTTAAATGATGGATACACCCGACCATTGTTTCTTTCAATATATTCAACTATAAGACATTGTTAGAGAGAAAAATTATCATTGCATTTCTTGTAACAAACCCCCTGCCTCTTCTTAAAACTCCATAAACTGAAACCAAAAAAACATTATCTCAAATATATAAGCTTTTATTTTCTCTTGATAATGCAATATCAATCCCAATAGATAAATGGTTGTCCAATCATAATTTACATGACACTTTAATAGACTTGGAAACTATATGCAATAATTCAATGACACAGAATGTCAATGCTCAACTAATTCAATACAAGATTTTACATAGAGCACACTTCATTACACATCAACAATATCGCACAGACTTCGAAAATGATAACACTTGCAGACACTGTTCAAAATCAATAGATGATTACATTCATTCACTCTGGTCATGTCCATTCATTCATTCCTTTTGGTTGGAAGTCCTGACCACTCTATCTCTGACAGCTCCTTAGTTGCTTTGTTAGGTGATTTGTCTTTAATTCATATTTCACTCATACAAAAACCTTTCCTTCTTGTATCCTTAACACTTGTTAAAAAAGGTAATCCTTTTAACTGGAAAGATAGAACAAAAATATCAATTAAATACTGGATCAATCTACTCAATAACATTTGTCACTGGAAAAAGCTACAGCAACAATAAAAGGACAACTTCCATCTTCTAAATTTTTTTTCTTATTTCATAGTCAATCTTGGTAATTTTTAATGTCTTTTAACCACATATTCTACTTCACAGAAGACATGATTCCATTAAAGTATCCTTGTCATAATTAATAGTGTGCAGTTTTGTCCCTCCCACTCCCCCAAAAGAACTTAGCACCCCCCCAACCCTTGTTTGTCTTTATTCAGAGTTTTTGTATAACATGTATGTATACGTATGTTGTTTTGTTGTTGATATATAGAAACATATATATTTATAACTTATATATACCCTATATACTTGTGTTATCGTTACCATGAATGTGCATGTGTGTAGATATTTGTTTGATGTGTATTGTCATTATAAAAGAATCTATTTTTTAAAAACGGAGAGTGAAATGCCAACAAGGAGAATTTCAGTTTTATCACTATCCAACGAAGGTTAAAATCAAGGGCCCTTGATTTTAACCTTCGTTGGATAACTATGACCTGGATGACTGAGAATCTTCACAGACATCAGTTTTATCACTGTTTAGTTTGAGGAAGTTTTGAGTGAACCAGGTTTTAACTTCATCTACGCAGTCAATTAGAGAAGACTGAGGGACGTTAGATGTAGGTTGGGTGGACAAGTGGAGCTGGGTGTCATCAGCGTAGCAGTGAAATTGTATATTATATTTCCTGAGAATAGAACCAAGGGGAAGTAAATAAATTATCAAAAGGAGGGGCCCCAGGACTGATCCCTTAGGAACACCACTGGTGACTGGGGAGGGTTGTGACTGAACATTTTAAGTTGCACAAACTGAGTGCAGCCAGGCAGGTATGATGTGAATAAGTCCAGGGATTAGTACTGTATAAGTATAAGTAATATTAGCACTGGTGCCCCCCATGGGTGTGTGCTCTCCCCACTGCTCTTCTCCCTCTACACCAACAACTGCACCTGAAGAGACCCATCTGTCAACTCCTGAAGTTTGCTGACGACACAACGGTCATCAGCCTCATCTGGGACAGTGACGAATTGGCCTACAGACGGGCGGTTGATCAGCTGGCTCTCTGGTGCACCTGGAGCTTAACACGCTCAAAACTGTGGAGATGACCGTGGACTTCAGGAGGAGCCCCCCCACTCTGCCCCTGTCACCATACTCATAAGCATGGCCAGCAGTATGCTGTGGAATCCTTCAGGTTTCTGGTATCCACGATTTCTCAGGACCTGAAGTGGGACCCCAACACAGACACCATCATCAAGAAGGCCCAGCAGAGGATGTACTCAGGAAGCTCAACCTGCCTAAGGACCTGCTGATCCACTTCTACACAGCCATCATCCAGTCTGTCCTCCGCACGTCCATCACTGTCTGGTTTGGATCTGCCACCAAAAAGGACAAGGACAGACTATAACAGACAGTCAGGACTCATCAGTGCCAACCTGCCCTCTATTCAGTACTTTTCCAAAGTCAGGAAACAGGCAGGAAACATCACTGCAGATCCATCTCATCCCGGACACAACCTGTTCCAGCTTCTTCCCTCTGGTTGGCGCTACAGAGCACTGTACGCCAAAACCAACAGACTTAGGAAGTTTCTTCCCACAAGCCATCACTCTGAACAGCTCATTTCTGACTCACAGTGTCAGAACCAATTCTTGTGCAATAACCCAGTAACTCTGTTTCTAATCAGCCACCTGTTTACTGGCTAATACTTATTATTTACTCACCATTCTCTATTTCAGTGCTGTTCATACTGTTATATTGTCATATTGTAGATACTGTATACCAAATCCACCTACCTCAAAATACTTATACTTATTTATTCCAGCATTCTTTGCACTATGCTTCATTGCACTGTGTACATGTGTGCATGTATATGCACCTGTATATCACATCCACCTCTGATATGTACATACTCCTGCATCCTTTGTGCTCTGCTTAAAAGGAAGTTTTTCCTTGTCTCTGTCGCCTAGTGCTGCTCTTGGTGGGAATTGTTGGGCTTCTGTAAATATCATCATAGAGTATGGTCTAGATCTGCTCTTTTATAAAAAGCGCTGTGAGATAACTGTTAAAACTGTATAAAATTGAGGCCAGTCTTGGACGTCATAAGGCCTATTTCCCAGCAAAAAATCTCTATATCCCTAATCTCTAACCCTAACCCTAAAATAAATAAAAAACATTAATCTAATCTAAATTAATCTCCTTTCCTTTATCTCAAGTAAACATCGCTTAAGTTCAGCAAGTAAGTCTCTAACAACAACTTACAGTTTCGCTGTATGTATATCACCATGTCTGTGTGTCTCTGTGTGCAGTAACTGTGCTCTGCTTGGCAGAGCAGCAATGAAAGGCAGCCTCCCTCGGGGTCCTAGTGCCCGACCACAGTAGGTAATTAAATTATGAAGCAGTGGAAACAACCAGAAGGATTATTTTAAGCCAATAAATACAAATTGTAATTTTTTATTTCTATAGTATTTATCAATATTCTTGCTTCTCTTTGTTGATTACATGCCTGCACTGTAAAAAAAAAAAAAAAAATCTAAATCTAATAAATAATTTTCTTATTACAGTTGTATAGGCCTAATGATGTCCATGCTATATCTTCCAGCTGAATCATGTCAGTAGTCCTGAGCTGAGAAAGACAACAAACACACTCACAGTAACATTCTGCTTTTATTGGAACAATAGCCAGAATTCAACACATGACAGAAGGTCCAAGTCACCGGCATTTGCACAATTTAATGATCAGAGCTTCCATCCAAGGACAGGAGTGGAAGAAGTTTACAATATAAATGAAGAATCTGTTCAATCACTTTGAATGACTTTGTACAAAGTTCATTGATGGATTTATTACAAGAAGCTAAAATATTTCTGTGATCCTGTACAGACTCAACTGATCTGTTCTCTACCAGGAGGAGACTCTCCCTCCTACAGAGAACACAGAGACACTGAGGAACCAGAACCAGACAACCAGAGCCCAAAGCCAGGAAAAAGTGGTTCAGTGAATGTGGTGTTGAAGGTGTGGAGGTGGATCAGTGTGTCAGAGGAGACTCTGTAGAAGGACAGAGAGCCAGCAGGACAGTCCATATACACTGCTACTCTACCAGAGACAGCGGAGGAGGAGGAGGAGGAGGAGGAGGAGGAGGAGAGGTTATTGTGTTGAACATAATAACCATCATCAGAGCAGCTCAGACTCCAGGACTGATCATTCCATCCAAACTCACAGTCATAACTGTCTCCTGTCCTTCTGATTCCTCTGTAACTCACTGATATATAAACTCCTCCTCTCCACTCGACCTCCCAGTAACAGCGACCAGTCAGACCATCTCTACACAGCAGCTGAGGGCAGCAGTCAAACCTGTCTGGATGATCGGGATATGACTGATCCTCCTCCACACGTGACGCCTTCCTGTTGTCGTCAGAAAGTTTGATTCTTCTGTTTACTGTGTTTGGGTCGAGTGTTAGTTCACAGGAATCTGATGGAGAGAACGAGACACAATACAGCTGCAGTTATTGATCCGTCATCTGTTCATTGATTGACACTTTGATGACATCAGAGCTTTGAATGAGTGATGTCACAGTCTGAAGATTTATTTATTTATTTATTGTTTATTTGAATAGGGACAGATACAAAAAACATAGATTATTACATAAAAAACAATCCGATGCCTGTATCACATTTTATAGCCGTGGCTAATTCGCAACACCTGTCCTTAGAAGGGCTTTTAACAGTTAAGATAATGAAAGAGTAAAAATTTACAGTGAATACAATAAAATGTCCAGAAACCAGTTAGCACCAATAAAAGTTAGTGTAGTAAACACATACACTCGAGCTCACACAGATGTACACCTCACATACACACAGATATACAGGTGCTGGAATATCAACAAAAAGTTGATTTATCTCAGTAATTCCATTCAAAAAGTGAAACTTGTGTAATGTATACATTCATTCCACACAGACTGATATATTGCAAGTGTTCATTCCTTTTATCATCATTTTGATGATTATAACTGACAACTAATGAAAACCCCAAAATCAGTATCTCAGAAAATTAGAATATTACGAAAAGGTTCAATATTGAAAACACCTGGTGCCACACTCTAATCAGCTAATTAACTCAAAACACCTGCAAAGGCCTTTAAATGGTCTCTCAGTCTAGTTCTGTAGGCTACACAATCATGGGGAAGACTGCTGACTTGACAGCTGTCCAAAAGACGACCATTGACACCTTGAACAAGGAGGGCAAGACACAAAAGGTCATTGCTAAAGAGGCTGGCTGTTCACAGAGCTCTGTGTCGAAGCACATTAATAGAGAGGTGAAGGGAAGGAAAAGATGTGGTAGAAAAAAGTGTACAAGTAATAGAGATAACCGCACCCTGGAGAGGATTGTGAAACAATGGGGGAGATTCACAAAGAGTGGACTGCAGCTGGAGTCAGTGCTTCAAGAACCACCACGCACAGACGTATGCAAGACATGGGTTTCAGCTGTCGCATTCCTTGTGTCAAGCCACTCTTGAACAAGACACAGCGTCAGAAGCGTCTCGCCTGGGCCAAAGACAAAAAGGACTGGACTGCTGCTGAGTGGTCCAAAGTTATGTTCTCTGATGAAAGTAAATTTTGCATTTCCTTTGGAAATCAAGGTCCCAGAGTCTGGAGGAAGAGAGGAGAGGCACAGAATCCACGTTGCTTGAAGTCCAGTGTAAAGTTTCCACAGTCAGTGATGGTTTGGGGTGCCATGTCATCTGCTGGTGTTGGTCCACTGTGTTTTCTGAGGTCCAAGGTCAACGCAGCCGTCTACCAGGAAGTTTTAGAGCACTTCATGCTTCCTGCTGCTGACAAACTTTATGGAGATGCAGATTTCATTTTCCAACAGGACTTGGCACCTGCACACAGTGCCAAAGCTACCAGGACCTGGTTTAAGGACCATGGTATCCCTTTTCTTAATTGGCCAGCAAACTCGCCTGACCTTAACCCTATAGAAAATCTATGGGGTACTGTGAAGAGGAAGATGCGATACGCCAGACCCAACAATGCAGAAGAGCTGAAGGCCACTATCAGAGCAACCTGGGCTCTCATAACACCTGAGCAGTGCCACAGATTGATGGACTCCACGCCGCATCGCTGCAGTAATTCAGGCAAAAGGGGCCTACTAAGTATTGAGTGCTGTACATGCTCATACTTTTCATGTTCATGTTCACAAATTTACAAAGTGGCTCAGGTGCAAGTTCAGTCAAACAAGATGGTTGAATGTGTGCTGCATTAATCAAATGAAAAACACACTTACACTTCCTCAGACCTGGTCTCAACCATCGGACTCTACCAGGCTCCACCCTGAAAGGAGGAGGGGGGTCAGAGCAGCACATCCTCTTTCGGCATCAAACATGGACATAACATTCCTCTTATAAACATATACTGTACACAATATGTGCATCAGGCCTGCTGCTCTAGACCGTACTCTTCTCATGTCATGAAAGGTTTTGAAAGGGTTATCCTAGGTCACCTATCCAGACAACTTTCAGCCTTTCAAGATCCTTTTCAATTTGCATATAGGAGGGGTGTAGGACTTGACGATGCTCTCACTTTTATGATGCATAGAATTTATAGTCATGTTATGTTTTTTGACTTTTCTAGTGCTTTTAACATCATACAACCACACATTTTTGCCCCAAAATGAATTAATTTTAATATAAATTTTAGATCTCTAAATTATTGTCATGTCCTGTTTATCAGATTTGTTTAAAAAAAAAAACATCTGACACAATTTTAACTAAAACATGGCATGGTTTTATACCCTTTTTTATTCACTCTCTACACTGCTGACTACAGTCATTGTGGGGTATCTTGCCACATCCAGAAATCTTCTGATGACACTGTCCTTCTTGGTCTTTTTTTTCAAGGTAATGACCAAGTTTATAAAAATGAAGTTGCCCCATTTGTGAATTGGTGTGAATCAAACCTCTTACAACTAAATGTTGGGAAGACAAAAGGAGGAAGAAGGAGAAGGTTTTTCCTGTGATCATTATTTGATGAACCAGCAAATTAAAATTGTGCCGTCCTATAAATAAAGTATTATACAGTAAATTAAACTAGAAGATGAACACAGACACTGTTTTCAAGAAGGCCCAGTTACTTTTTATCAAGGCATTTTAGCCAGTGTTCTTTTTATGATGTGCTTTGTTGGGGAGGCAGCATAACTGTGACGAAAAACTTCAGAAAAGGGGACAAGTGCCAATCTAAAGAATGTCATGGATCTTGTAGACCAGGGCTATTAAATTACAATTTCAATTGGATGGGATTTTAAATCCAGAGCAAAGAAATAGGCAGGACTTTTGCCCCATGTGTGCGTGCTCGTGTGTGTTTATGTGGAGTGGAGGTGCTCTGCAGAGATACAGAGAAGTGGAGAGGCTGGAGGTCAGACAGTTATGTTGAGTCTTGATTGGCGGTGATCAGTACAGTGTCACACTGCCAAAAACAGGGAGGTGACAGCTGGTGTGTTGTGTGGACGTGTTTGAGTTTATTTTGTCTCTTTTTGAGTGCATGAGAGATGCTTGGTGGGTTTTAGTTTTGTTTGTCGATGTATAGTGTTCCCCTCTCTCCCTCTCCCTCGCCTTTCCACCCCTCTCCTTCAAGGCGGAGTTGTCTCTGGAAGCTGGGCGGGTTCCTCCAGCTGCAGGCAATCGGCACTTCACACACCTCTCTCCTGTTATAATCTGGACTGGTTTATTGGGTGGCGATGGTGCAATGGATAAGACACATGCCTTTGGTGTGCGAGACCTTGTTGTAGGTAATGCTACGACTCGCCTAACTTGCCTTCTATACTTTGTATTGGCTTTGACCCTGTTTTCCCTGTGCCCTGTTCTAGTGTCCCTTGGAGACCCTGCTCTGTCTCGGAGAATGCCTGACTGGAGATCTCCCCACCGTAGACGCTCTTCCCAGTCAGCCCTGTTACTCTACCTGCCGGGCTTTGCTCTCACCTGCGCCGCCACACCGGAGGAACCCAACCCCCTGCATCAAGCCAATCCACTTTATCTTGTGTTCAATAAACCGAGTAAATATCCTTCAGAACTGAGTTCTTGTCTGCATTTTGGTTCGAGCCACAAAATCCTGACATACAGTGCATGTGAAACTTAAAGATGAGAAGGAAATGATAAAGCTCACTCTTTAGCTACTTCCAACCACTACACGTGTAGTTTACTTTTGTTGTCAGATTATGTGCTGGACCACGTGGAGTTTGCTTCGGGGCTGGATGTGGCCCGCGGGCCGCCAGTTGGATAGGGCTGTTGTACAGTATCTCACAAAAGTGAGTACACCATACACATTTATAAATATTTGAATCAGAATTAGAAGGAGCTTTATTGCCAAGTGTTTTACACATAGGAGGTATTTGCTTTGGTGATAAGATGCTACACGTAGACAAACAGTTGACATAAATAAATATAGAAATATAAAAATGGAATAAACAAATGCAAGTTATGTAAGAATAATAAAAGAATAGAGAAAATATAAGCGCAAACAGATGCTGACATCAAATTATTAGGCTGTAATATCAACCAGCACTGACCTGCTGTATTTCATCTTATAATAATGAGTGTTGGGAGTAATGAGTTACAAAAGTATTACTACAATAATGTATTGCTTTTTGCTGTAACGCAGTAATATGATGCATTACTAAAAATAAATTGTTATTATTATACCCATTACAATCTCAGTAACACGAGTTACAATGCATTTTGCCCCGAAATTAAGTGGTGTTTTTTTTTTTTTTTTTTAATTCACCAACACCAAGAAACATTTCATCAGCAGAAAACAAATCCAAGAGTAAAGGATAACATTATTTCCTGCAAATTACGGGGGAGCTCGGCTCCTCTTAAAAAGAAGGTAGTTCCCCTGATGGATCATACATACATACAGTAGATTTCTATGGGCTATGTGTTTGTGCTTTAACAAATAACTTTCAAGATTAGAGAGGCTGCTGTCAGTTCATCCTGAGTGATTCTGTAGGAGTGTTGGGGGATTCAAAGAATCAATGATGTTATACTGCTGTACCTCATGCGTAAATGTGGACAGCATCTTTGTTAGCGTGGAGACAATACATCCTATTTTTTATAACAAAGACCCAACTGATTGGATAACTCTGCACATCACTAGAACCCTATGCAGCACATCTTACTATCAGAACAATGCACCTATTAAATAGCAGTGAAAGTAACGCAAAATGAGTGTAAGGCATTACACTTCAGAGTCAGTAATATTGTAATATAACTAATTACTCTCAAATGACAGCAACTAGTAATCCATAATGTATTACAATTTGGAAGTAACTTGTCCAACACTGATAATAATAATAATAGTGCCCATAATGTAGACTAGCCTGTTGTAGTTCTGTGATGACAGTTGTAATTGGGGCTAAATGAGATAGCCCCCATTTTACTGTGTCATTTCATAGGGACTGACATAGGGACTAATGATAAAAATGCTTACCTCAACAAGCTGAGGCTTAAATTATCTCCTTTTTACAGATAAAAGGTCACTACCAAAAAAGTTAGGCTACTGGATTTCTGTGTAGAGCATGATACTGTATGCTGCTGTAATCTGACTGTTTTCAACATATGCCATAATGTTTATTGCAACCTTGAGATGTTTCAACATACGGTATCATAATGTTGACAGACATGTTTCTGGATTCTGAAGATATGATCTGTAGCCTTTATGCATTAGTGCCAACAGCTGGTCTGCTCAGCTGACAGAAATCACAACGGCAGGCTCCCTTCCCTGAGGTGAAGACATCTCATTTTGCTAAATGCCTGTTTCCTTAACTCCTCCAGCTCACATCTCGGGTGGGAGGGACTAAGACACAATGTGAGGAAATGAAAAGGGCCCCAAAAAGCCTCTCGTAGTGGAGTACAAGATTGCTGATATGGGACATGTCAAATACTACTTTGCACCAAAGATTGATGAAGAGGCATCCTAAGTTTTATAATCATTCCCAGACTTCATAAAGAAACTCCATTCATCAATGCCAAATTTACATTCTCATCATTTGATACTTGGTGGAGACATGAACATTTTGTTAGAGCTCCTCTTGGGCAAATCAAACCCCAAAGCACAAACCCCCTGAAAAATGGCACAGACTTTATCACAATTTATGAGCTGATGCGGATGTATCAATTCTTGGCAATTTCTACAATCAAAAGATAGACACTTCTCCTTCTTTTCAAATGTTCATTAGTCTCACTCTTGCATAGATTACTTTCTTAAAGATAAGTTGCTTCTTCCTTCTGTGGCCTCAATGAATACTTGTCAAGAGAGGCTGACTGGCCATCGGGAAGTTCTGTGATGATTCTGCCTGTCTGCTTTGTGTTAATTTATCTCTGCCTGTTCAGTTGTTTGATACACTCAACTGTTCAGGGATCCTGTTGTAGTCTGTTTAACTGTCTTGTTTGGTTGTGGTCAGTGTAGGGGTCATGACATAATTTACTGCAAATTTGGAATTATTTCTATATAGGTTAATTTGGTAGGTTATTTGTTGCTGTATTTTTATTGACCACTGTGTTCTTCATAGTTTTATTTTGAATATGTTGTTATTTTCATCAATAAACGTTATAGACTTTGTTGGGTTTTTTTAATCGGTGGAGGTGCTCCCGCCACTGTCCTCTGCCATCTCCCCCGGGGACGAGGGCATGCAGAAGTTCTGGAGGCACTCCGGAGAGGTCTCACCTTCATCACCGGCCTCCTATTCTGCCCTCAGGCCGCCCCCCTGTCCTCCCTTGTCCTGTCCCTGTCTGCTCCCTGAACTGTATCTTTTTGCTTTTTTTTGGCCCTCCTCCTCTCCCCCCCTTGGAAAGTTTTCGGTTCCATCTCATTCTGTGTTCCTATTTTAGTTCTTTTGTAATCAGGCTTCTGAGTAAGTTTTTTTTATCTTGGTCCTTAGATGTGCTTAGTAGTTCTTTCCATTTTGAGTCATGTGTGTTCTGTGTTTTGTTTTATTCGTCCTGGTACATTGTCGTTTGTGATTGTTTTTGTCCACTTGTTGGTCTGTCTTGTCGGTGTCCTCATCTTTGTATGTTTTTGAGAGTTGTATGTTCAGTGTTGGTGTCAAGGTACATATTTGTATATGGGTGCTCTCTGTTCAGTCCATGACTTGGTGTCATGCCCTGTTTCCTGTTTTGTTTTGGAGGTTGTCTGCATCTGTTTGTATCCAGCTTGTTTCCTGTCTTGCCTTGATTACACCTCATGTGTCTCACCTGTTGATTCCATCCCTGCCTGTTAGCCAGTGTTTTAATGTTTGTTATTCCTGTTCTGCTCTTGTTGGTCCATTGTTGCTTGTCATGCTCTGTCAGGTGTCCTTTCATGCTTGTTCCCTGTTTTTTTGTGTGGATATTTGGATTTTTATCTTTCTAATATGGACTCAAACACTATTTTGGTTTTTCTGCCCCAATTCTGATTAACCCCCTAACGTTTTTCACCTGCTTTTTACCCACCAGACTGGTGTGTGTTTCTGTATATATTGTCTTAAATCATTTTCAGTTTTGTCGCATCCTCATCGTAAGTCGAGTGTCTTTGTTCGTGCTCTGTGCTCTGTACCTTTACAGATGTATGTAACACTACCTTTATTTGGACTTTGACTGCCATGATATCATAAAAGCCCCCTGTGTTTAAATAAATTCTGACGTAATGTATCGACTCCAGCTAGTATATGTATTTGGGCGCACAGCTCAGTTTTTCCTGCCTTTGCACTCGGAAAGCCTGACAACAATATGTTTTCCTGACAGTTAAACATGTCATTATTCTTATATAATGCAAAAAAGGCCAAAATGCTGCATAACAGGAATAATCTGTGATTATTAATAATCAGTTTGACAGAATCTTGAATAAACAAACCAACATAGGTATAACCATTTATTTTTAGACATGTTCTCTTTGTCACATCCATGTGTGACATTATAAGTGTAAATATTTTGATATTCTATTCTATGAACAAATAACCAGATATCTGATAGAAGTTGTCAAACTTTTAATATCAGTCCCTTAAGTTCCCAAGAACTAGAAGAGCCACTTGTGTCTGCACATTTCATATTTACAAAACATTTTTCTGTTTCTCTGTGTTCACCTCAGTTCTACAATAGTAGAACCGTACATTTGGTCCTTGACAAATTATATTAGCAGAGACAATCCGAGGCAGGTTAGCCATTTATTCACCAATGTAAATCGGATTTTAAATGGTCATCAATTCATTAGGTTAATGAACGCTGACCTGAGAATTCCCAGATTAAGACAAAGTGTAACTTGATCTGACCTCAAGGTTTCCAGTGTACAATTTGGACTCTCCAGTCCAGCAGTCAGCAGCTTTAATCCTGAATCCTGCAGGTTGTTGTCACTCAGATCCAGCTCTCTCAGACTAGAGGACTGGGAGCTAAGAACTGAGGACAGAGCTTCACAGCTTCTCTCTGAGAGGTTACAGCCACTCAGTCTGGACAGAAAATAATCAACATGAAGACAATTAACATTTTTACAACTACAATTAATATTGTATTGTATTTTTTGCATCATTTGCTCATTCAGTGTGTTAAGAACGACTTCTCAGCACATGTTAAAATCATTGTTGTTTTATTCTAAAGATGTTGTAGATATGATGACAAATAATGACCAAATCAGTAATTAATAAAACATGTAATGTTAATATGTTGCATTGTATTAAACATCAATGAGGATTTCCATCTGAGCCAAAGTTCATATGTAATGTTGTATAATATGTGAAACTGAATTAGACCTAAAAAAATTTTAAAATTCAAAGATTTTCTATGCCGTAAAACAAGAGTGAGAGACTGTTTAAAATAAAAGGTCCATGATATTTAGAGAAATAATTTTAATGTTTTAAGACAAAATTTAACTTGAACTGACCTCAGGGTTTCCAGTGTACAATTTGGACTCTCCAGTCCAGAAGACAGCAGCTTCACTCCTGAATCCTGCAGGTTGTTGTTCCTTAGGTCCAGCTCTCTCACACTAGAGACCTGGGAGCTGAGAACTGACGACAGAGCTTCACAGCTTCTCTCTGAGAGGTTACAGCCACTCAGTCTGGAGAGGAAATAATAGATTTGACATTTCAAAAATGAATAATTAATCATTTAATTGTTAAAATATTGAAATCGATCCTATGCTGATACAATGTGTTTAGAAAGTCTGTTTGAACCAATGCTGCTTTATTCTAAAGACAAACATTACATTTAAAATACTGAGTCTGAGACTATTTAGTTAAAATGTCATGATATCAAAACATAAATGAGGTTATCCAAATCTGCCAAATTTCATATTTCATGCTAAACAAAATTTGAATCTCAATTAGAAAAAATACAGCCACACATGGTCCCAGCTTGTCTCTGTGAGATTACACAGATTCAGTCTGTAGAGACAACAGGAAGGAAACAAGTAATAACATGTTTTTTCTCCAGCTAAAAGATAAAAGTGTTTATTGATGAATAAATCCCACTTACACAGCTTTCTTGGAGACTTTGATCACTGGCAGCAACCTCAGAAGAGCCTCCTCTGAAGCAGAGTATTTCTTCAGGTCAAACACATCCAGGTCTTTCTCTGATGATAGTAAGATGAAGACCAGAGCTGACCACTGAGCAGGAGAGAGTTTATCTGTGGAGAGTCTTCCTGAACTCAGGGACTGTTGGATCTGATCCACTAGAGAACTATCCTTCAGTTCATTCAGACAGTGGAACAGATTGATGCTTTTCTCTGCAGAGGGAGTCTCTTCAATCTTCATCTTGATATACTCGACTGTTACCAGATTGGTTTCTGAGCCTCTTCCTGTCTGTGTCAGCAGGCCTCGTAGCAGAGTCTGATTTGTCTGCAGTGAAAGTCCCAGGAGGAAGCGGAGGAACAAGTCCAGGTGTCCATTTGGACTCTGTAAGGCCTTGTCCACAGCACTCTGGTAGAACTTTGTTGATTTCTCTCCAAACATTTTAGACCACCAGGATGATGACAGCAAATTGACACCAGAGTTGATGAATGTCAGATGGACATGAAGAGCAGCCAGAAACTCCTGAATGCTCAGATGGACGAAGCAGAACACCCTGTCCTGGTACAGCCCTCTCTGTTCTTTAAATATCTGTGTGAACACTCCTGAGTACACTGAGGCTGCTGTGATATCGATGCCACACTCTGTCAGGTCTGATTCATAGAAGATCAGGTTTCCTTTCTGCAGCTGCTCAAAAGCCAGTTTTCCCAGAGACTCAATCATCTTCCTGCTCTCTGGACTCCAGTGTGGATCTGTCTCAGCTCCTCCATCATACTTGACATTCTTCAGTTTGGACTGAACCACCAGGAAGTGGATGTACATCTCAGTCAGGGTCTTGGGTAGCTCTCCTCCCTCTCTGGTCTTCAACAGATCCTCCAGAACTGTAGCAGTGATCCAGCAGAAGACTGGGATGTGGCACATAATGTGGAGGCTTCGTGATGTCTTGATGTGGGAGATGACTCTGCTGGCCTGCTCTTCATCTCTGAATTTCTTCCAGAAGTACTCCTCCTTCTGTGGGTCATTGAACCCTCTGACCTCTGTCACAATGTCAACACACTCAGGAGGGATCTGATTGGCTGCTGCAGGTCGTGTGGTTATCCAGAGGCGAGCAGAGGGAAGCAGGTTCCCCCTGATGAGGTTTGTCAGCAGCACATCCACTGAGGTGGACTCTGTAACATCAGTCAGGACCTCATTGTTGTGGAAGTCCAGAGGAAGTCGACACTCATCCAGACCGTCAAAGATGAACACAACCTGGAACTCTTCAAAGCTGCAGATTCCTGCTTCTTTGGTTTCAGTAAAGAAGTGATGAACAAGTTCCACCAAGCTGTACTTTTCCTCTTTCAGCACATTTAGCTCTCTGAAAGTGAATGGAAATGTGAACTGTATGTCCTGGTTGGCTTTGTCTTCAGCCCAGTCCAGAGTGAACTTCTGTGTTAAGACTGTTTTCCCAATGCCAGCCACTCCCTTTGTCATCACTGTTCTGATTGGTTCATCTCTTCCAGGTGAGGCTTTAAAGATGTCTTCTTGTCTGATGGTTGTTTCTGGTCTGTCTGGTTTCCTGGATGCTGTTTCAATCTGTCTGACCTCATGTTCATTATTGACCTCTGCAGTCCCTCCCTCTGCGATGTAGAGCTCTGTGTAGATCTGGTTCAGAAGGGTTGGGTTTCCTGCTTTAGCAATCCCCTCAAACACACACTGGAACTTCTTCTTCAGTTTAGATTTTAGTTTATGTTGACAAACTGTAGCAAGAAGTTCTGAAGTAAGATGCAACAAAACAGATCAATCAGTGATTGATAAAGTCCATATGACAGTTTATTTTCCTTAAATAAACATGTTTCCCTCCATCTGTTTAGTCATCAGTAAATGTATCCAATTTATCTGTATATCCAGCAGGTTAAATCTTTAGATTAATCTTACTGCTCTGCAGACACTCAGCCAGCTCCTCTTGCTTCATTCTCCTCAGGAAGTGAAGTGTGATCTTCAGAAATGCCTCTCTGCTGCTCCTCCTCTGCTCTTCCTCCTCACCGTTCAACACCTCCTCATCCTCCCTGTGACTCTCTAAGCATTCTGGGTGATCTGAACTCAGATACTTCTGGATCTTCTTCAGCTCGTTCTTCACAAAAGTGACAATGTTCTCCTCCAGCAGCTGGAACAGAATATTATATGAAGGATCAAAGTCAAATCATGGAACCAAACATCAGATCCATGTTGGACAGTCTGACAATCCACTGGTCTAAAAAGTGCAGCGTGGAGATTATTGTAAACAGAATAGAGGAAAAGTAGTTGTTGTACATGTACAGACCATAAATATGGAGTCCAGGTGTGTTTGATGCTGCTGGGCAGACTGACCACTGGGAACCTCTGAGCTCTCCTGGTGGACTCTGTGGAGGAATCATGAAGAGTAAGCTTACATTATGTCCACACAAAGACAGACACAAGGTAAAGGCCCTGTAATTTAAAGTGTTGATTACAACATTGAACTGGACTTTTAATTATCTGTTCTCCTTAACCATGATAGAATTGTAAATTAAAAGTATTTAACATCCACGTATATTACTTCATAAATATGACTTCAATCTGGCTCAGCTGAATATAAACTCCTTTTCATTGATAGACCCTGTTTCAGATGACAAATGTTTTCTATTTGATCCCTCCATCCCTGAAACTTCTCCAATTTTGAAATGAACAGTATGTTTCTGCATTTTAAATAATCTGTCTGTGAGACCATAGACGGAAATCATGGGGTGGACGGGGGGGTCAGGTCCCCACCTATCTGAGGCGTGTCCCCCCTTAAAAACCATCAAATAATATAATGATAATGAACATACTTAAAATAATTGTGTAAATAGTAAAACAATACAAGCACAAACAGTGCAATTAAAGTGCTTTTTAAGTTTAGAAAAATTTTGAGTTCCGTCAGTAGTTGAGGAGCTCCAGTAATGTTAAGCAGGCTGTTAGGGCTGTTTTATGTATGTTAAACATTGGATGAACTGATTCTTTTGTCTTTAATACAGAAGATGCTGAGACATTAATAAATTAATAATGACAAAGTTATGATAACCGATTATTTTTCTATGAGCCCACACTGTTATTATAACATTACCTAGCTTATTTGGTAGCTTCTTCAACAGCTTATTGGACTGGAACTCATCTTCTACAGCTAGAGATGCGCAGATTGATCAGCTAGGGACTGAAATAGGCCAGTGTTTTTTCACTTACTCGGTTCTGACCAGTAACCGGGCCGAGCAGTGTCAAATCCAATTTTCTACTGGTCACATTGGAAGTTACAAACAGGCTGCGCTGCGCTGTGTTTCGGACAATAAAGAATGAATCTGAATCTTAGCTGTTCCTAGGACTGCACTCCGGTGACCTCTGATGTTTTCCTTGAGATCTGCTTTTGCGACTCTCCCAGTTTGGGGGTCACGGCCCCCAGTGCTCGGAACACCACTGGCACCACTGTTGCTCTTACTTTCCTTTGTTTTCTAGCTCCTCTTTCTTGGTATTTCTCAAGCTTCTTGTGTTCCTTCTTCTTGATGTTGCTGTCGCTTGGGATTGCCACATCTATCACTACTGCCTTCTTCTGCTGTTTGTCGATCAACACGATGTCTGGTTGGTTAGCCATCACCAGTTTGTCAGTCTGGATCTTGAAGTCCCACAGGATCTTAGCTCGGTCATTCTCAACTACCTTAGGAGGTGTCTTCCATTTTGACCTTGGGACTTCCAGCCCATACTCATGGCAGATGTTCCTGTACACTATGACAGCTACCTGCTTATGGCGTTCCATGTACGCACTTCCTGCCAGCATCTTACACTCTGCTGTTATGTGCTGTACTGTCTCAGGGGCGTCCTTGCACAGTCTGTACCTGGGTCCTGCCTGGTGTGGTAGACCCCAGCCTCTATTGATCTTGTACTGAATGCCTGTTCTTGTGCCGCCATGATTTAGTGCTTCTGTGCTGTCCTTCAGTCCAGCCTCTTCCAGCCACTGGTAGGATTTCTTGATATCAGCCACTTCTTCTATGTGTCTGTGGTACATGCCGTGCAGCTGCTTGTCCCTTCATGAAGGTTCTTCATCTTCCTTGTCCTCACCTTCGGGTTTCTGCTGCCTGAAGTATTCACTAAGCCCTTCATCTTTGGGGGCCATCTTCCTGATGTGCTCCTGGATATTTGTCGTGTCATCCTGGACAGTGGTCTTGACACTCACTAGCCCTCGGCCTCCCTCGCTACACTTGGTGTACAGTCTCAGGGTGCTGGATTTGGGGTGAAACCCTCCATGCACTGTGAGTAGCTTTCTCATCTTGATGTCAGTAGCCTCTATCTCCTCCTTTGGCCAGTTTATTATACCAGCTGGGTATCTGATGACTGGCAGGGCGTATGTGTTGATGGCTCGGATCTTGTTTTTCCCCATTCAGCTGACTTTTAATGACCTGTCTTACTCTCTGTAGGTATTTGGCTGTGTCGGACTTCCTTTCTGCCTCCTCATGGTTTCCGTTAGCCTGCGGCACCCAAAGGTATTTGTAGCTGTCCTGAACATCTGCAATGTGGCCTTCTGGTAGTTCAATCCCCTTGTTTCTGATCATCTTCCCTCTTTTTGATACCATGCGACCACACTTGTCCAGTCCGAACAACATTCCAATGTCGTTGCTGTAGATCCTGGTAGTGTGGATCAGTGAGTCGATGTCTCGCTCATTTCTGGCATACAGCTTGATTTCATCCATGTAGAGGAGGTGACTGATTGTTGTTCCACTTCGGAACCGGTATCCGTAGCCAGTCTTTGTGATGATCTGGCTGAGGGGGTTCAGGCCTATGCAGAATAGCAGCGGGGGTAGTGCATCACCTTGGTATATGCCGCACTTGATGGTGACTTGTGACTTGTGCAATTGGCTTTGAGTTGGCTTCCACACTTATTTTCTACAGCCCCATTGAGTTCTTGACGAAGGCTATTAGTGTTTTGTTGATCTTGTACATATCCAAGCATTCCAGTATGCATGTATGTGGCATTGAGTCACAGGCTTTCTTGTTGTCAATCCAGACAGTGCACAGATTGGTCTGCCTGGTCTTGCAGTCTCGAGTGACTGCTCTAGTCTAGTCTGATACTGGCAATTCTGTTTTTTATTGTTATTGTTGACGAGTCTGATACTGCTTTGGCTACTCCTGTTTAAAGCTGTTCTTAACTTTGCTGTACTTTTCTATGCTGTGCTGTTATGCATGGTATTATTGTCTTTTAATTCTGTAAAGCACTTTGGTCAGTCAGTGGCTGCTATAAAACGTGCTATATAAATAAAATGAACTTGAACTTGAACTCTATCAACCTTGGCTCCCCTGGTATTACTACCCATTCCCTTCTGGGCTCTGTCCATGTATTGAGCCATGTGCCTACTCATCTTAGCCACTCTGAGGCAGAGGCAGGTTTTTGGCCGGTAGTTGGATGGGATTGTTCCCTTCTGTTGGTCCTTCATGATAAGGACTGTCCGTCCTTGGGTTAACCATTCTGGGTGCATCCCATCCATCAGCAGTTGGTTCATTTGTGCTGCCAGGCGTTCATGGAGTGCAGTTAGTTTCTTCAGCCAGTAGGTGTGGATCATATCAGGGCCTGGTGCTGTCCAGCTCTTCATACCTGCCACTCTTTCTTGGATGGATCTGCCATTGTAATGGTTACTGGTTCTTGTTCTGGGAGATTGCTGTGATCTGTTCTTAGATCCACTAGCCACTGAGCATTGGTGTTGTGGGATGCCTCTTTCTCCCATATGTTCTTCCAGTACTGTTCAGTCTCAGCCCTGGGTGGATCTTATCTTGTGTTATTACCCTGCCACTGAGAGTACACTTTGGATGGTTCGGTGGAGAACATCCAGTTTATTCTCCTGGCTTCTGCTTCTCCCTTGTACCTCTTTAGGTGTGTAACCAGAGCGGTGAGTCTTTGTTTGGCAGACTCCAGAGCCTCAGGTATTGACAGCTTGTTGTATTTCTTAGGTAGGCCCTTCGTTGCACCTTTCTGTAGCTCTGAGAGCTGACTAACCTCTCTTTGTGTTGCCTTGATCATGACCTCTAGCCTTCTCCTCCATGGGGGGTAATGCTCTTTGTGGCTTGTGGTGTTCATCTTATAGCCAAGCATCTCTAGGATCACTTTTACTGTGGCGTATATCAGCTCATTGGTTTTGGTTATGGCTTTAGTAGGGATAGTATGTAGTGCTGCATTCACATCTTCTAGCAGACTAAGAAATTTTATGTTTATGTTTTCCCCCCTCTACTGTGAGATGAAATTGTGTGAGAATTAATTTTTCACCCATCTTTTCCTTTTATATCATTAATAATCTGGTCAATGATTTAAATATCTTTTGTTCCTTGGCTATTGATGCTACTGCACCTATTACGACTATATCAGCTGAAGCAATCAAATCATTCCTGTGGATAAATGATGCTGTGGGAGGACTGTGCCATATTCATGTCCATTTTCTTTACATGAAAGAATGTTGCCTGGAAAATGAGCTGAACCAGTTCTACTGCCGCTCTGAGAGTCAATCGTACACCATCCCCCGTGACACCTCTGCTCAGCTTCAGCCCCAGTCCACCATCTCCTCCTCCATCTCAGAGAAGGATGTCAACAGACTATTCAGGAGGCAGAAACCCCACAATGCAGTTGGGCCGGACTCTGTCTCCCCATCCACCCTGAAGTACTGTACAGACATTTTTAACAACTCACTGGAGTCATGCCATGTGCCAGCCTGCTTCCATCATCCCTGTCCTCAAAAAACCAAGAACCACAGGACTAAATTACTACAGACCCATCGCACCTGACCTCTGTGGTTATGAAGTCCTTTGAACGCCTTGTGTTGTCCCACCTAAAATCCACTACAGAGCCAACAGGTCTGTAGATGATGCAGTAAACATGTAAAACTCACCCTTCTTTCCCCTTTGCTCTTCTCCTTGTACACCAACAGCTCCAATATCTTGGAGTAGAAATTACCAGGGAGGATGAGGAGTGTGATACCCTTGTAAGTGGCACACACCCTCTGCTCCTCTGTTTTGAACAGGGCAATGACCACACCGGTTTGCCACTGCTTGAGCACAGTCCCCAATTTTCACGCAATGTTGAAGAGGCGTGTCATCCAAGACATCCCCTCCACATCCAAAGCTGGACGGATTTCTGCATTTCTGGATGGATTTCATCAATCCCCGGCTTTACTGGGAGTGATTTGAATAGCTCAGTGACTTCCACCAGGGAAATTGACAATGAACCCCCATCAGCCTCCAGCTCTGAACCTAAATCTTAAACCAAAATGTTTAACTAAGGAAAAGTGAGTTTGTCGTGCTCAGGAGAAAATATACAGAATTATTAGGCAACTAAATTACAAAATTTATGTCTATTAAATTACTTGTTATCTCT